GAAGCTGCTCTCTGAAAGAGGCAGTTATAAATACCACCCTCGAGTCTGTTTTGACTCATTCGAGCCTGCATTCATTTCTTTAAGGCAAAAGACTTAGGATTTAGCATGATTTAGTCTATTAGTATGAAAATTCCAGCAGCACTGAGAGAGTTCTTTTTGCAGAGGTTCTGGGCTGCTGTCAGTGGTCAGCACTGATGTCTTAGAGGGTGTCAGATCAGAAACAGGGAAAGGTTTGTCCTCCTTGAAGAGTTTGCTGAGAAAACTTCCTTTCCACGTGGAAAATACAGTTGCTGAGATGGTGACTTGACTTCAGGCAGTGTCAGAGTGGGGAGACTACAGCAAGTCATCACTGCTGCTCTGCCCAGGGGGCCTTTCTCAGCCTGGCAGATGCCACTTGAGAGTCCCAGGTGTATTTTCAGACACACCCGAGGGCTGAGAGGGGTTGGAAAGCTGCAGGTTGTCCAGTGAGTTGACTTGGAAGGATGCTCAGCACAGGTTTTAGGGGTGGGTGTGAGTCTGTGGCTGTTCAACCAGCCTGGAAACTTCAGCCTGAGAGATGGGAGAGCACCAAAAAAGAGGCTGTGAAAACCCACAGGGCAGCACAGGTTCAAATACATCCTTTGTGGATGTAGCAAATCTTCCTGCTTATTCTTTTGCCTTCAAAGACCAAACCAGCAGGGATGTCAATAAGCTGATGGGATTTTTTTCCCCCCCTTCCCCTCCCTTTTTCCCCCCTGAGCTGCAGGAAGAGGAGGAGGAACGGCAGCGAAGAGGATGGTCACATCCCCCAGACCAAACGCAGCACCAGGAACACTGTCCTCCAGGACTCCTGGGACACTGAGGTGAGAGCCTTCTGGGGCAATCCCAGCTTCCTTTCTTGCTGAATTTAGGCTGGAATAGCCCGTGGAGTTTTATTCCTGGAGAGCAGTCCATGAAAACGCTTTCTTTTTGGTGGTTGGTGGCTGAGGTCGTGGGGCTTGGCTCTTGTTTTGTCCTGCAGAGGCTGAAATCTGGAGAATGTGGTTTGGAAATCAGCTTGTTGCCAGTGACTCTGCTTCTTTTGGGTCTGAATATCTCTCCTAAGATGTTTCACATACTGTAGGACCCAAGTGAAGATCCAAGAAGAGCTTTTAGTGGCCATTTTTTAGTTTTTCTGTCTGAAGGGAGGTGGAATGTGTCTGGAACCAAGGAGGTGATGACCTGGGGGTTATGAATGCATGGAGTCACTTTGCCTGGCTGCTTTTCCAGCTTGGCATTGAACAGGATTAGTTGTGGTAGAAAAGTCACAGAGTGTTCCAAAGCTCCTGTCAATGGGCTGAAGTTGCACCAGGAGATGTTTCAATTGAATATTAGGCAGAATTTCTCTCCTGACAGAGTGCTGAGGGGTTGTCCCAGGCTGCCCAGGGAGGTGCTGGAGTCATCATCCCTGGAAGGGCTCAAAAAATGTCTGGACGTGACACTTGGGGATGTGGTTTAGTGGTCGTGGGAGTGTTGGGTTGATGGTTGGACTGGATGACCTCAGAGGTCTTTCCCAACCTTGATGACTCTCTGAACTGTCTCATACCCTCTGATCCCTCCCACAGCAGCTCCCTCTGCTTTGTGTCCCTGCAAGTTAATGAAATTAATACCTTTTAAAGCTCTTTGGAACACTCTTGTAGGTTTTTTGTGCAGCCTTCTCACTTGGAAGGTTGTCTGCAGCGAGGAATCACCAACTCCTGAGTTACACAGAGCTGTTAATTGAGTTATACACTATTAATTAGACTTCAGAAAATATTTTGTGCCCTCTATCTTCAAGGAACGTTTCCTTTATAACCTGGTAGCTGGTTTAAATGTGTCTTTAAGTTCAAAATGATACAAAACTCTGTATCCCACCATTCCTTTTGTGAGGGAGACACATTTTCAGCCCATCCACCTCACCCTGTAGCTGCTGTGGTCGTCAGGGGAGTTGTGTGGAGAGTGCTCTGCAAGCTGGGGAGGTTTTTTTTTGGGAGGGAACTGGGTGAGGAGAGGGATGTTCCTGGCTCTGGTGTTGCTGTTTGGCCTGGCCAGAGTCCCCCCTGCTGGGAGGAGGTTGTTTTGGCTTCTCAGGGATAACGGGTAGAACCCTAAACAGTCTCTGAGGCACTTGTCCAACAGGTTGGGCACCTCTCCCTGTGAAGGGCTCAATGAGCTCTGTGGTGGGAGGAGGGAGAATTTACCCTGCAACAAGGGCTGGGAGCAGGAGCAGGGAGATTAAGAATATCAGGAAAGCCCTCAGGGGTGTGTTGGCAGGAGCACTTTTGCTCCTCACAGAAACCCTTGAGCCACTAAACCACAGAAAGAGTCTGGTGGAGCAGAGGAGCAGCTCAGCCCTGGCATTATGGGGTGCACAGGGCACCTCCCAGCCTGCCACCAGCACGGCCAGTAGTCCCCCAGGCTGGCATGAAAATCCAAGTGCCCAGGTTTGCTTGTGCCACCTTAAACCTGGCGTGGAGGGCAGGAGGATCTCCTGCTGCTGATGCTGGGGGGACATCCCTGCTGGGCACAGCTCTGCAACAAAAACAACATTCCCTTTCTGAAGAGAGAAAACAAACCCACAACATCCCTGCTGCTGAATAGTGCCCTTTTTCTTTTTTTTTTTTCCCCTTTTTGGCTTGTTTTCTTGTCACCACTGAATTGAGCATGCCCAGAAATTCAAGCTGGGAGATTAAATCAGTATTATTGGACTGTTTCTGTAAGGACTTCCTGTGCCCAAAGGAGAAATCCTTGTGCTCAATAGTGCACGAGTGCTTCCGATTGGTGTCACTGGGAAATTCTTGGCCATTTGTTAACACTTTTATTTAGTTTCCTGCTCCTTTGCCATTGGCAGAGGTGGCTCTTGCTGATGAAAAATCCTCACTAGCTTTAGGATATCGAGGTGGGGGAGAAAGTGTGTGTGTGTAGGAGCATGTGTGAGTTCAGGAGAGCTGGTTGTTGTCTGAGGGCACACTCACACTTGCTTTTTGAGGAGTTTTAGCTCAAGTCCAGACTCCTTTTGCCTCCCTTCAGTTGAAAGCTGACTGCTCTGTCTCACCAAATGTGGTTTGCTTGAGGCCACAACCTCTTTCAAAGAAAATAAGGCAGTGGTTTTACTAAGCTGGGCTTTTGTTGGGATCTCTTGCCCCCTTCTTTTGTCCTGCTCTTTGTAGCTGACACGGTCTGGTGTGAGGTGAAGGGAGGTCCTTTGGGTGGCCCTTGAGCTGTGGGGCTGCTGTGTGGTGCCTTCCTCTGCTGCCCTTTGAACCCTGCTGCTCACACCAGTGTTAGTGTTTTCTCCTGGCAGATTGCCCTCTACATCCAGGGTGGAATCTGAGCTTCTCCTGGGCAGGTTCCTGTAGGGATATGTGGTTCCTGCTCTCCTGCCACCCCCTGCTCACCCTCTCCTGGGCTGTTTGCCCTGGAACTTGCTGACAAATCCAGCAAACCCCTCCCTATTCACCTGGTGTTGCTGGTTTCTGCCTCAGGTCAGGGTGATCCTGGGTCCTCTGAGGGGCCAGGAGCTGGGACAACACATAGTTGTGCTCTACAGCCTGGGGAATCACCAAGGAAAAAGCCCTCTGCTCTGATTTTCCCTGGAAGGAAGGGAGCCTGCAGTGTCTCAGCTGACTCTTTTCCTTCCTGAGCAGCTTGTGTCAAGCCTCACTTGTCGTGGTTCCTCTTTGTTGTTCTGAGCCACGACAGGATCCCCCAGAGCTCAGAGATCCCTGCCACACAAGGGGGGGTTTGTCCAGCTCTGCTGAGGAAGAGCTGCTCTTCAGTCCCAGCCACACCAGAGAACAGCTCTGACAAACACACCCTGTGAGAGGTTTTCAGAGCCTCAGGGTCTGACTGACTGATTTTTAAGGTCCTGTCAGGAGTGGTTGAGCTTCTGTGTCACAGACCAGCAGATAAATACATTTAACTGGACACTTGGAAATCATTTAAAAACCCTCTATAGCTCCTCAGTGTGATGTTATGAGTCAGGTGAACTTTGCAGGTGCCTTTTTGATCCTTAAAAGTGCTCATAAACTTTTGTTGGGCTGCTTCCCTTTCACTTAGAGCTTTGTTTCCTTCTCTAGATGCGTTGTGGTTGCCAACATGATGACTTTAAGGCTTCTTTTTCTGTCTAATTGTAGTCCAAATGCCTAACAGAACGTGCACCACAGCCTGGGGAAAGGGTCTTTGCTGGGGGGCTTCTCCACTAGTGAATTTTGGCTTTGGAGAAATGGAAATAAAGAGGGGTCTGACCAAGCAGAGCTGCCAACAGCCTTAGGTGTAGGAAGCACGTCCCAGGACACTCTATTTGGGGTTTATTTTCCTTAAAAAACATGAGACAGGCATGAAATAATCACTGCTAACCATTCTAAAACGTTGGCTGAGATGTGAAACTGCAGCAGTGAGTAACACCCAGGTTCTCATTTTGATTTTTACCTTGATTTTCAGAAGGTGGCTGTAATGAAAACCAGTAAGGAACGCAGACTAAAAGGAAGCAAAGTGTCCTCTGCGGTGGGTTTCTCCCCGAGGCTGCTGTGACTCCTTGAGCTGTGACCAGCTTTGCCTTCCAATATTCCTGCTTCTGGGCGGTCTGGCAAAGACCATCCCTGGCTCCTCCCTGTCCTCCTGGTGTCCTCTCCCCTCTCTAGAGTTAGTGGAGATAGGGAGAGGAGCTGGTTGCTCCTGTAGGTCCATTGCTGCCTCTTGCAGAGTGACCTCACAGGGGTTTTGTTGTTTTCAAGCCTCACACCCCAGCAGCCCCGGGGCTCTTCTCTCACTCTTACCACAGAACTGAAGCGTTTTTGGTGCTTAGCAGAACAAGGGAATTGAGGCAGCTGCATTGTCACCCTCAGCTGGGGCACTGGTGCCACCCTGGGCCTGTCTCCCTGCGACCTCTTGGCCCCATTCTTCAGGGTTACCTCCAAGTGGGGCCTTCCAGATGTGGTGCTGAGCTGGGACTTGGGTATTTTAGCTGAATACTTTAAAAAAATGTGGCTTTTTCAGCTGCTTTCATAAATCCACTTCTTTCAGGATAGCAAAGAATCAGCCATTCACTGATTCTTAAAGCACCTCAACATTTCCAGTGTTGTCCTGAGCAGGAATTCAATATTTCAGCTGTAACTCATGGAGCTTTTAATTAGCAGCCCTCAAAATGATATAAGTTGAACAGTTTGATGTCTTTGAAACACTGAAAATGATGGTTCATGCTCTGCAGTCATTACCATGAGGTGTTTTTATCCAAATGAGCCCTGTCCTCTCCTCTGCCTGTGGGAGTCTTTGGTGCCTGTCACTCTCCTCCTGCCCTGTCCAGTAAATTATTTGGGAAAACAGGCAGTTAAGATTCATCATCCTGGTGTTTAACCAGGAGAGGAGTAGCTTTATGTGTTCAAAGACTTAAAATGAGGATCCTATCCCCTTCACTTTTAACCCCCTGCTGCTTTTGGGATGCCTCGGATCTCATTTCAGAAGGGTGGGCTTTGCATGGTGCTCAGCTGCAATGCCTGCTGGAAGCCAGGGGCTTCCCTGGGTGCTCTGCCTGCCTGCAGCCCTGCGTGTGCTTCAGCAGCAGCAGCGTTCTTGACTCTCCAGTTCTCAAATGAAACTTCACTAGTGCTGACCTGGCTCAGGGGGCCTCAAACCGGCAGGTCCCCCAAACCGGCGGGTCCCCCCCCGGGGCTGAGCGGCAGCCTGGAAGGGAGGGGGCTCACCTCCAAGCCTCCTCCTCTCCCCCCGGAGGTGTTCGGCGGTGGAAACCCCGGGGGATTTGGCCAATAACCCTTTCTCTCTGTCTCAGTCCTCCAGCAGCGACAGCGGCAGCAGC